CCTTCCCTCTCACTCACCCATCCCCCCCTATCCCTCTCAGCTCACCCATTCCCCCCCCATCCCTCTCCCTCCCTTTCCTCCCCCTCCTCCCCCTAGCATCCCATCTACTAAGGCGGGGCAGTGAGACATTCTACTGCAGCAGACGCAGAGGGAGACGGCGTGGAGGGTTGTGGGTCACGTGTGTTAGAGGTCCCTAGAGACTCCGGCAGCGCTAACCCGGCCCCCTCAGGGATACTCTCGCCTCGCCCGGAGTGCTGGCTGGCCCATCTCGCCACACCATCACCACCACAACTGACACTATCACCATCACCACACCTAAAACACTGCTCGAGACCAGGTCGCTAATGTGGATTTTCGTCTCTCTCTATATGTCTCTGTCTCTGTCTCTCTTTCTGTCTGTCTCTCTCTGTCTCTCTCTCTCTCTCTGTCTCTCTCTCTCTCTCTCTGTCTCTCTCTGTCTCTCTCTCTGTCTCTCTGTCTCTCTCTCTCTCTCTCTCTCTCTCTCTCTCTCTCTCTCTCTCTCTCTCTCTCTGTCCCTCTCTCTCTCTCTCGTTTTCTTTCGGTGTCTCTTGCTGTCTCTCTGCCCTGTTCTCTCTGCTTGACCGTCTTTCTAACCGTCTGTCTGTCAGTGTGCCTGTCTTTATGTCTCTCTACATCTATATCTCTGCTTGAATACCTATGTATATCTATCTATCTCTATGTACATCTATCTATCTACCTACCTATTTATCTATCTGCCAATCTATCTATCTATCTGTTTACCTATCTACATATCACTGGTCGACGAGACCTGCAGGAAGAAACGTCATGTTTCTTCGAATAGCAATAACTTTCATCCCCTGCGCCTTCGTCAGGTTCGTCACCTCTCCGAATTTTCGCCGAATCGCACATTTTACTCATCCGTTTTCACCTGAATCATCCATCCATTCAATCGTTTCCCCGCGGGTCGTAGGGACGGCAACTTCTTTGAACGACTGAATAATTATCAAGGGCCACTGAAGGAAGTTTCGTTGAATTCTATTACCTTTGGATTCTGGCGGCTCTTGGGCGTCCCTCTTGCGTAAAAGGTCAGAAGTAGAGACCTACCTCTGATCTAAGGTCATGTTACTATATCAGGTATTATGGCTTAACATTTCTTGCCCTTCTGTCTTCCGGCATATTCCTCTTCCTTTTCCCTCTTTTTCTTCCACTTTCCTTTCTTCTCCCTTCTTCGATTCTTGTCTCTATCTCTCCTTCCCTTCACCATCCCTCTTTCTTCTCCTATCTTCCCCTTCTTTTCTCACTTCCCCTTTCTTCTCCTTTCTTTCCCCTCCCTTCCCCACCTCCCCCTTCTTCTCTCACGTAAGCATGTTTATCTGTCCTAATTTAGCGATTCAGTCGAATGAAAATCTTAATTATCTCTTCGATTTCATAAGAGGTTTCGCTTCAGTGCTTCGGAGAGTATCATTCGCTATTTTAGGTGTCATTACTTTCAATATCCTCGCGATTATCGATCATTATCTGTTTTGATTATGTCCCTCAATCAAACTAGAGTACTAATGATCCTTCAGATCAAATGAGAATCTTAATCATATATACGATTTCATACGAGTTTTTGCTTCGGTGTTTCGGAGCGTCTCGTTCGCCAGCTTTCGGTGTCATTATCGTCACAACCATCGTCATTATCGATCACTATCTGGCCGCTGTGCACTATCGGCGGTCGAGATTCGGAGGGGATGTCGTTTTCTTCGTTAATGAAAGTTCTGCGTTGCTATTAAGCTCGATCAATTGATGTGCAACGACCGTCATTTATCAACGCCAGGCTATTCTAACGCCACTCGAAGGCCGTCTGAATCCCGCTTCGAATTCATTTTATCACTATACGTACATAATCGCCTTGCATCGCCATCACTACGCTCACATTCCCTCCGAAAAATACAGACAAACTGACAAACAAACATACATATACAAATACATTCTCCCCCCAAAAACGGACACAGTGACAAACAAATACACATAATTGCACAAACACACGCATACGTGCATAAAAAAAAGACACACACAAACACATCCCTTCACTTCCCTTGCTATCTCCACCTCCCCCCCTCCCTACCCCCTCTATCTCTTACCAACACCCACCGACACCCTCCTCCCTCCCTCCCAACCCCTCATACCCCCTCCATCTCCTATCTACCCCCACCTACCCCCACCTTCGTCCTCGCCACCCCCTCATACCCCACACCCACCTCTTCACAGCCCCTCCATTACCCCCTCCTACCCCCCCACCTACGTCTTCGCTACCCCCTCCATTACCCCCCCCTACACCCACCTACCCCCTTCCTACATCCTCACACCCCCTCCCCCCCCTCACCGCCACGCAGCAGGACCGCCATATAGACCTTCTTTAAGCATGTTGTCTTGTTGGGCTTTCCACAAAATTGGTGTTCGGAGCATCTTTGAGCAGGGTTGCCAAAACCGGCGTGGTGCCTCTCTCTCCCCCCTACCCCCCCTTGGAAGAACG